CTTCGAAGAGAAGAATGTGCACGACTGAATGCTTCTTGAGCATTAGTTGGTGGCTCTTGTTCAAATTGAGATTGAAGCCATATTGCTAATTTAAAAATAACAATAATAATAATAACATTAATAATAATAATAATAATAATAATAATAATAATAATAATAATAATAATAATAATAATAAGCTAAAGTTTCAACATAATTGTTTAGCAGGAAGGGATTGACGTGAAAGTTGGGATAGGGGAAGAGAAAGGGTTTTAATTCATAAGGTTAAAATATGTCATTACTTTAAAATAATAAGGGTAAAGATAGAAAAAAAGTTAGGAAGATGGTAGCTTATTTTGAAACGCTACCTAAAGTAGCGTTCCAAAATAAGTTCTTATTTTAAGCTAGGAGCTTATTTTGGGAACATTACCAAACAGAGCTTATAGCTTATTAGTAGCTTAAAGTAAGCTATAAGCTCCTAGCTTAGTGTTGCCAAACAGAGCCTTCAAGTGGCTTGTAGTCCACTTGTATCGGGTTGCTCTCCTAAGTAGGAGTTATAAGATTTGAATCTCAGTTGAGGCAAATAGTGTGTATATGTTGGGTATCCCCTCCCTCAGTTGATCCTATATGTATATATAGCAGATTAGCAACGTACGAATTTCATATTCATTAAACCATTTAAATTAGTTGCTCTACCGTCACGGATTAGGCAAGATTACGAAAGCCTGTAATCACGCATGTCTATTGACGACTTTTGGCCACAAAGCATGTTCTTTGATGCTTCTCTGATTCAATATGAACTTGTATGCAATGAATTTAGGGCAGCTTTAATATTAAATGTTGAGAAATGTTATTTTCACCAAACATAGGCAACTTTAAACTAGTGTTATAAAAATCGGTCTAGGCGACCGTCTAGACGCCTAGCGTCCCTAGACTGAGGCGATTTCAGTCCTAGGCAATTTTTAGTCGATTGACCGACTAACTGACCGGCTAGGCATCCTGCTAGGTGCCAACTCAGCCGAGTTGAGCCCCTAACTCGGCTAAGTCAGGCGCCTAACTCGACCGAGTTAGTCCCTAACTCGGCCACGCAGTTTTTTTTTTCTTTCTCCTACTTGACTATTTCTTTTCTATGTTTCTCCAGTCATGTATTCAACGAACTATCTAACATATGCAGTTGACTAGTTTAGAGATTATAACAGTTTAACAACTCTTAGCTCTGAGTGGGAAAAGTTGGGACAATATACTTAGATTACTAGGCCACCTAGGCTTGTGGACGCCCGACTAGCGCCTAGTACCTTCTGCAACATTGCTTTAAACTAAACTAGTAAAAATACTAAAGAAAATAAATAAATAAGAAAGAATTGATTTAAACATAGACTAAAGAATTAGTTTGTCAAATAAATAATAGATATGACACGTAAAATGGGACAAATGGAATATTCTTTTAATTTCATTAGTCATTTACAAATGAGCCAAATCCATTTTGAAAAATAAGCTTGTATTTGTGATTTTGTGGCACAAATTTATTTTTCAAATTCGATGAGACCTAGCTAGTCTCACATAAATTTTTGGTGACCAAAAAAAAAAAATGAATCAAAATTTTTTATTAGTTTCGGTTTGAATTCAATTATTTTCTGTATTCGAAGCATTACAATTCTATTGACAAATTTTTACAAAATATATCATCTTCAACATAATAAAATTTGATAATACACAAATTTCAAAGATGAGAAAATTGTCCTTTTTAATCTTCATGTTATACGATAATAGCATATTTAAAATCCTTAAAAGTAACAACAAACTTTTACAATTTTGTTAGCTAAGGGAATGAAAGCGTTACTCCATTAAAAATTTGAGAACTAAAAGTGATCATGCTTATAACATAAGAATTGAGTCGATTGTTACAAAAATGCAATTTTCCCTTTAAAAATGTGCATTCTAATACTTCGTAAATAATGTTCTACACTCAGTAAGTTAATTTAGTTCTTAAAGTAGTCCACTAAAAAAAACAATATTTTTTTTTGAATGCAAATAAAAACAATATTAAAATATTACATATTCTAATATTAACAAACAGAGGCTTTGCCAGGGCTTAGCATAATAGTTTAGTAAGCAGTATTTGGAATAATATACCAATGTTTGAAATTCGACAATAATAATGTGAGAATTATGGTTGAAGTGGACAGATCACTTGTGCACACTAATAATTGACTATGTCTGCTGAGTCACTGACTTATCGAGATAAGAAGAACAAACCAAGACTTAAGAGTTAAGATTACAGTTTTGAAATTTAACAAAGGGTAATTTCGACAAAAACTCAAATCATGGTAGTTGGGTCTACCAATTACCAAATGTACTTTTATTATTATTAATTAATTATATATGCGATTGAAAAGATATAGAGATAACAATAATTTAATATGGTTTCTTCCTTATTGTAAAAGTTGTCCAAATGTCATTGTTTATTTATTATTTTGGTGTGGAAAATGCCAAGAAGAAACAGTCTGTTTATAATACTCCAAAATAAAGAATATTTCATTATAAAGAAGTATGCCTGCACTATAGCATTTGTTAATCGATACGTTCTTGGAGCGTTATGCCATGGAACCGTGTTCACCATTCATGGTGAACACGGTTCCAACGGTGTTAGTACACCGTTATTTTTTTTTATTTTTTATTTCTTAATTAATTGTGTGACTTTTCTTTTTCATTTTCACATTTTTGCGGTTTCACTTTAATTTGAGGTGAACAATGATTTCGGACATTCATAAATTATGAATTCATGCCTGCACATTCACTTTGGAACCATACCTACACATTCCAATCCGAAATCACGGACATTCATAAATTATGAATCCATGCCTGCACATTCACTTTGGAACCATGCCTACACATTCACTTTGGAACCATGAGATTATGAATTTTCTGTTATGAGATTATGAATTTTCAGTTATGAGATTATGAATTTTCTGTTATGCGATTATGAATTTTCTGTTATGAGATTATGAATTTTATGAAAATTCATAATCTCATAACAGAAAATTCATAATTTGATCAACACGCGCCGTTAACTCAACATCCGCGATTATTATTATTATTTTTGCCTAAAAACGACATCGTTTGGCATTGTGTTCACCATTCACGGTGAACACGTTTCCAAGGCATAATTTGCCATACGTTCTTCCAGTAGGCGGTGTTAGTATATAATTGAATAAGTCCATTATTGCCAAGAGAATTATATTATTTATATTGGGATAGATTTAAAAAACTAATAATAATATTTTTTGGGATAGTGTTGGGAGGAAGAGACAAAATGCATGTTTTTGCCCATTTAATAATAATTTAGATAAGATTGAATTTTTTTTTAATCTTTTTGTAACAAGTTATAAAGTAATAATAATAATTTAAGGATTATAACTCCGGATTTTACTGATTGATTCTAAAAGGCCGGATTAATGAATATGTTTAACGTTAGCCTCTCACAACATTGTCCATTTAAAAGTTGGCACATCACAAGTAAACCCAGTATGTTCTATCAGCCATAAATAGAAACTCTGAAAATAATTAAGCCTTAATAAAAAAATAAAAAATAAAAAAGCATTTTAGAGAATAAGCAATAGGATTATTAGTTTTGAGAAATGTCACCCATTTTCTGTAGGCATTATATTTGCACAGGAATTAATTCCACAGAAACAAAATGAGCTGGATTCTCACACAGGGGACATGTGTTGCCATTACAATATAATCATTAAAATCACGTTCACAATAATGTGTATGAACAAGCAACCAGCCATCTTTGCATTGTTCTCTGTAATATCGCCAAGGCATTTCTTGCAAATAAGCAATGGTTTCTCAATTTCTTGAACACCTCCAAATAGAAAAGGTACACTTAACAGTTTAGAAAAATAAGGACTTGGATTATTACCCAGAGATAGATTAAAATAGGGAAAGTTTGCTTAGGGAATAATAACAAGTGACCAGAATATGTTATTGTCTCAGGATCACATGTATAAACCATGCGTTCAAACCAAAATTAATATATTGATAAACAAAAGTCTTAGACACATAAAAACATAGACAAAAAGAAGCTTTAATTTCTGATCTTGATGAAGATAGGATTGTTAATATACAATATGTAGTTTATTGAGAATATACGTATTGATTGAGCTGCCTTCTTCAGGTTTTATCAGAACTTTCTCTATTCCAGCCACATAGCCATCGTCGTCAAAATACTTAATAGTTCATACATTGTAAAGAGAAAAGTCATTTAGTAGGCACTATCTTAACAAAGTAAAAAAGGAGCATTAATGTTTCAGTTGCCACACAGCTATATTGCAAGTATTGAATAAGATTTTGTGATTTTTCCTTCCCTTCTTCTACTCTTTCTGATCAAATTTTCCTTCCATTTCTACTGATTTCTTACTTGACACTGCATATCTTAGCTCAATATTTCCAGTATATTACAAGTTTGCCGCCTAGGCTGATTTGATTTTTAAAACATTGGGTATCAGCTTGGACTTTAGGACAACCTCCCATGAATGGAAATCTGCAAAGCATTGTTCCAACACAGAGGTAGAATAGTACCTGTGGGGGTTAATAGGCCTGGAAATCCCAGAACAATGGAATTGAACAGATTGAGGGAATAAGGACTGTGCTTTACGTGCAGGGAGAGATGGCAGCCAGGGCATAGGTGCAGGGAAAGAAATACGAACAGAAGAAAGAGTTGAATAACTTGAATTAGAAACTGGTGGTTTTAGAAAATGGAGAGCTGAAACCACACAAGTATCCTTTAATGCTGTTTACAGTAGGGGAGGGTTAATAAAATTAAACTCCAAGGATTAGGGCAGACAGACTTTTTATATACTGATTGACAGTGGCATTACTCACTCCTTGAACCCACAACTTGCTCACAGTAAAGAGTAGAACATCTGCAAGAAGAAGGTTTAGTAGTGACAATAGTTAATGACGAAAAGGTTAGGTGTGACACTTCCTGTCCTAAATTCCAATGGAACATGCAAGGCAGTTTTTTTGAGCATGATGTCTACCTACTGAAGCTTGGGGGATGTGCCAAGGTCCTAGGAATGGACTGGATTCACAAGCATTCAGGAGTTCTCTTAGAAACCGCTCCAACCAGCATTACTGCATTACCCAACTATCAAGGTAACAGGGTCAAGTTTGAAGGACTAAGCCCCAACAGGCAATGTAAACAGGTTGTATTCCAGGAGATTCTAAAGGAAATTCAGCAAGAGGGAATTGGGTTAATAGTACAGTGCTGCAATATCCAACTAATTAAGCAAAAAAATTTGCAGGCTACACATGACTCTTAGTTGGGGATCACTCAGGGACCTTAGAATTTAGGATTTAGGGACTTATCACAAAGGGCCAAAGTTATCTTTCTACTGGCCACATATGAAGCAGAAAATTTCTAAATATGTCCAGGGGTGTGATATTTGTCAGAGGAACAAGTCTTGAGAACATCCATAGCTCTGGCCTCTTACAACCTCTTAGCATTCTAGAACAGGCCTGGACTCACACTGCCATGGATATTTTTGAAGGACTGCCTAACTCTGAATTTAGGGATGTTATCTTGGGGGCAGTTGACAGGTTCAACAAATATGCACACTTCATACTTCTAGACCATCATATCACTGCCAAGGAAGTAGCTGCAATCAGAAGAAAATGTTAAGTTCTAAGTATTATGGGCCATAGTACTTAGAACTTAACATTTATGGCCCCTGGCCCCTATGACGTGTAGGCCGGAATTGGACCAGTAGCACACAAGCTTAAATTGCCAGTGTGATGCTTAATCCATAGTGTTCCATTGTCTCCCAACCCATGAGGAACCTGTAGCCATTCTGCAAAGAAGAATAATCAAGAAAAACAGTGCTGCTAGCGGGTAAGTATGGGTTCAATGGACCAATTTGAGTCTGGAGGCGATGTGGGAAGTGTTTACACCCACTTGACAGCACAAATCTTGATTTCAATTCTTGAAGTGGAGAGGAATGTTATGCTACTAAGGGATGAAAGAGTCAGGATTGAAGTGGGTGTTTTGGACCGTTGCTGATTCAGTTGCCACAGAGCTGTATTGCAAGGATGAGAGTTGGCTATGGAACCGTCCTTTTACTATTTTGTGGTTATTAAGTTGCATTTTGTTTGTTGCATTGTGGGAATTTGGGTTACGGGTACCATGTTGAAGTAATGATTGTGTATTTAACTGATGAGTAAGTACAAGAGTATTTATATACAGAATGTAGAGCCATAGAATAATTCAAAGCTACCAAAATTAGAATGAAGATTTTCTCATTTTCCCTTCCTTTTTTCTCTGCTTTCCTTTCCACCCTAGCTTCTGATAATTTTTCCAGGATATTACATATATTTATCTGTATCTGTACAATACTATCATTTAAATTTATAATATCACACCATTTTACGTTAAAACCCTAATCTCAGGAAAATAGAAGAAAGAGGATACAAAGAGAAACTCACACAAGCCATTGATAATACAACTAAAGTCTGACGAATAGAGAAGATGGCCGGTTAGATGACGGTTATGAAACACGGAAATGGATGATGATGAAGTGCCGCAGCCACCGGAAAGTTGAGCGAGCAGCGATTGCGAAGGAGGGAAGGAGAGAATAGCGGGGGTTGGAGGGCAGAGGAGAAGGTTTCTCCGGAGACAACTGGCAACTGTCTCTCGGGAGACACTTGATAAAGGCACGTGCTTTCCACGCGCCATCGTACTCATGGGGGAATTTTTTATTATTATTTTTTTTTATTTAGAAAATTGCATTTTCATTCCTAGGATAATTGTATAATCTATTCATCCATTTGTTATGCTCACTTTTTATCCCAAAATTAATGTTAATTTTTTGTTCCTGAGTTGTACTAACTTTTTGGCCATGAATTGTACTAAAATTACAAATTTCGTCTCTAATGTGTTATTAGTAAACGGATGAAAAATGTAACATCAATGATAAATTAGAGACGATAAGTGAGTATGATTTGTTCTCAGGACTAATTCTTGGACGAAATGTGTAATTTTTCCCTTTCACTAAAAGCTGTATATCAATTGTTATTTCATTTTTTTTATAGGCTCTTTAACTTTCAGCATCATTTTCGACTGTCGACGACTAGACTATTTCTGCTTTGATGAGTAATAAAATGGACCACCAAACTCCATCGGTAGTACAACAAGGGAAGACATAAGTGTCAAACCCAACCAAAAGTCGTTATCTCCCGCAAGTTAATATTGCATTCACTGAGACTTGAACCTATGACTTTCCATCAATTCTTGAAACAACCCTCATATTCCTACGTAAGCAAAACTCAAGTACAACAACATTTAGCAAAATACTCTTCTTCTAAAGTCCTTTGACTCTATTACAATGCAGTATCAACTCACAATCTCACATATGGGATTTCAACCCGGGTGCCATCTGAACACAAGGTGTTTGGCACCGGCCTATATACCTTTGTAATTAATTAAGTTCATTCAATACAATTCTATCAGTTCTCATCTGTTATTCGTTAGTTAGGGTTTTCTTCACGAAAATTTCCACCACCATGCTGCTGCGAGAATTTTCCAGGTCGTAGTGATTGTGGTTGTTGATGATTAGGTTGAATCATTAAGCAAGAAATCAAATTTGTACTGGCATGTGAAGAGTTTACAATAACGATGCATGTTGTTTTCTTTGAAGAGTTAATAACCAAAATAGTCTCTCGACTATGTCGTAATTATCAATTTGATCCTCAACTATCATTTTTATCTAATTAAGTCCTCAATTATGTAATATTTACCCATTAATCTCCTGTTAATTTGATTGTTTGTTAACTCTCAAAATTAAGAGTAAAACTGTAATTGTATAAGCTGTGGGAGTTCCAAACTTTGCAGCAAAAGTTCCATCCGAAGCTACTGCCAGCGTGCATGACTCCCTAGTGACCAAGAAATGATGCCTGGTTCGCTGTGAGCAACCAAGACTCACGTGAAAGTTGAAACCATGGAATGAATTTTCATAACTCTTTTCTTTGATGCTATGTATGATTCCAGTAAAGGATACATATGTCTTTTCAGTGGCGGATCTAGGAATTTTCTCCCGTGGGAGCGCGACACATTAAAATAAAATAGATAGTTTGAAGAAAAAAAAAATGAAACACTTAAAAGTATAGCTATAAATATTGTTAGATATGAACGAAAAATAAAACAAATCAAAACTTTATAAAACTATTCATAACAAAATATGAAACATAATTAATTTGATAAAATAATTTGAATAAAAAAACACATTAGGCATGTGTGGCAAGATTTGAACCCTTGCCCTTCCTCAAGATAAACCACGCCCATTGCCAATAGAACTAACACGTCTATTGCTTGCAATTATCAATTTTCTTTTACTTATTATAAATCTTGTACTATATATATACATATATACATACAAGGATTATATATGGGGTGGAATTGAAGCATGTGCTCCATCTCACCGTAGTCGCTTAGGAGTGGTGCTGAGATTCAAACCCATGTCCTTTAGTCTGGCTCTGATACCAAATTGAAGCATGTGCTCCATCTCAACTAAAAGCCTAAGCTGATAGTTGGATTACACATTAATGGCTATATGCTCACAGGGGTGAGGTGAGTGGGGGCAACTGCCCCCATTGTAGGTCCGCCCCTGTGTCTTTCCATCTCCATATATTTCCATCACTTCATTACCCACAACTCAAAACAGAATGAATAATATGTTCATTTATGGAAAATACAAACTTACATTTAATTTGGAATTTTGGATGGTCGCAAGAGTAAATCATATGAACACAAAAATGGAGGATCATTACACCTCAGTGATCCAATCCTCTTTCTGCAGTTTTGTTCTGGATATACATAAACCTTAATGAATAATGATCATCTCTTTGCTATCATCTCAGTGATAATTCATAATTCATATTATGTTCATTATTTTATATATTTTATACCTAACGAGAGTAAGACATGTATGTGTAATATTGAAGAAATGAAAAAGATTTTACTAACATGAATTCATGATTTAAAAGTTATTGTGCAATATTATTTTATTTTAAAGGAAATCCATATACATCTTCCTATCTTACACTATTATATATTTCAGAATACAGAAGAATTAATGCACGATGGCAACAACACCATGGCCATAAAGGTTGTTTTGAATCATTCAATAATTCATCCAACTCATTTGACCGATTGGTAAACTCTTCTCCAACATCGCGAAACATTTCATCCAACTGATCTTCAGACTCATCATCTTCATTGTCAACATACATGTTAGATGTTGTAGCCACATCGCTTTCACCGTGCCAAATCCATTGTGTATAATATGGATTAATCCCATTAACGATTAGATCATCATATATGTCATCTTCACCAAACCTTTTCTGATTACAACATTTCGTACAAGGACAGAAGAACCTCTTATTACTATTCGGAAGGTTATTGTTTGCAAACTGTAAAAAATTTCTAACTCCATCTTCATATTCCTGACTAAGTCGATTAGCTTTCATCCAACTTTTATCCATCACAAGCCAATCTAAAATAATAATAACCTAGTTAAATATTTGTTAACAACATTTTAACAAATTTATATAATTATAACTACTACAACAAATACACTATATTCATTTCGGCCAATTAAATAATTAAGCTAATATTACATTTTGATTTAAAATATTACATTTTTTTTTCATAAGTATCATAATTTCTTTCATTAGTAAGAATTAAACAATTTATTCATTATTAGTATTACATTTTTCTCACAACATTTTCCTACACTATATAATGTAGTTTGTTTTAATTTCTTTATATACGTCTAACTTAATTTATACACACTTAGCTTGTTCACTTAAATTATTTGGTAAGTTATATACTTGAAAAAGGCAAATTATGGACCAAGATTCACCTAGCATGGTGGGCCTTGGTCCAAAACGTCATTTTATATTGAGTATCAACTAGTGCACTATATTCAATAACATCATCATGTATTATACACACTTCGCTTGTTCACTTAAATTATTTGGTAAGTTATATACTTGAAAAAGGCAAATTATGGACCAAGATTCACCTAACATGGTGGGCCTTGGTCCAAAACAACATCATTTTATATTAAGTATCAACTAATGCAATATATTCAATAACATCATCATGTATTATACACTTAGCTTGTTCACTTAAATTATTTGGTAAGTTATATACTTGAAAAAGGCAAATTATGGACCAAGATTCACCTAGCTTGGTGGGCCTTGGTCCAAAACAACGTCATTTTATATTGAGTATTAACTAGTGCAATATATATTCAATAACACCATCATGTATTATACACACTTCTTAGCTTGTTCACTTAAATTATTTGGTAACTTATATACTTGAAAAAGGCAAATTATGGACCAAGATTCACCTAGCATGGTGGGCCTTGGTCCAAAACAACGTCATTTTATATTGAGTATCAACTAGTGCAATATATTCAATAACATCATCATGTATTATATTCATAATATTTGTTCTATATGTCTATAAACTAAACCTTATTCCTTAATGTTCATACACAATTATTCCTAAAATTTCAAGATATACACAATAATATATAAACAAAATTTCATAAAATTCCACATATACACACAACAATTCATAATTGACCCACTAACTTATAAAATTAAATATATATACACAATTATTCCTAAAATTTAGAAAATATACACAATAATAATATATAAAATTCGAAATTCAAAAAATATATATACATAACCATTTTTAATTTATAATATATATATATATATATATATATATATATATATATATACATATATATATATATATATATATATATATATATATATACATATATATATATATATATATATATATATATATATATATATGTATATATATATATATATATATATATATATATATATATATATATATATATATATATATATATATATATATATATATATATATATATATATATACGTACGTACCTTACAGAATGTCCGGCGACCCAGCGCGAGGAGAGGCGGCGAGCGGCGAGCGGCAAGGCAGGCACTGTTGCAGCGGCGTCGACGTGCGGCAGTTGCGAGGGCGACGGCTTAGGACAACGTAGGGCGACGGCGAGCAGCACTATTGCGAGCGAGGCCGAGGACGACGTCGACGTGCGGCGAGCGAGGCCGAGGACGACGGCTTAGGCGGCGGTGGAGAGCATCGGAGGCGTAGGGCGTTCGGCGGCGTAGGGAGTTTGGAGCAGATGAGTGAGGAGTAAGGGCGGCGATCTGAAATGTTGAGTGTGAAAGGGCGCCGATCTGAAATGTTTTAGCTTAGGGTATATTATGAATTTTATACAGCGTCGGTTATTTTACGAATCCGACGCCGTATAATTATATTTATTTTTTTTTAAAATTTGAGTATACGGCGTCGGCGTTATACGTCGCCGACGCCGTATACCATTTTAATTTTTTTTTTTTAATTATTGGAGATACATTCTCCGACGCCGTATCTACAATTTATTATTATTTTTTTTTTAAAAATTCGAGTATACGGCGTCGGCGATATACGTCGCCGACGCCGTATACCATTTTAATTTTTTTTTTTTTTAATTATTGGCGTATCTCCTATTTATTATTTCTTCTTTTTTTTTTTTTTTTTTTAAATTTGAGTATACGGCGTCGGCGTTATACGTCGCCGACGCCGTATACCATTTTCATTTTTTTTTTAATTATTGGAGATACGGCGTCGGAGTTTATTTATCCGACGCCGTATCTACTATTTATTTTTTATTTATTTTTTTAAATTCGAGTATACGGCGTCGGTGATATACGTCGCCGACGCCGTATACCATATATATATATATATATATATATATATATATATATATATATATATATATATATATATATATATATATATTTATTTATTTATTTATTTATTTGAGATACGTCGTCGGCGAAGTATAACGCCGACGTCGTATCTCGTATTTATTTTTTATTTATTTTTTTATTTAATATACGGCATCGGCCATACCAAATAACCGACGTCATATGTATTTTTTTAAAAAATAAAAAATAATTTTAAATATTTAACGTCGGATTTTCAAAAAACCGACGTTATAATGTAGACGTTAAATCCGTTTTCTGTAGTAGTGTGCTAAGCTTCCTGGTATATCTCCTAACACCAATCCACATTTGGTCATTTTCTTTACAAATGTTGCAAACTCCAAATCTGGGTTTATTATTAAGTACGTAAGTGCTTTCAGATCTCTATCACTCGACTTTTCATCAATACTCAAAACTGATATTCTCAGTATTTGTTTAGGATGAAGGTTATTAACTTTTACTGTGAGGTTCGAAACTGCTAAATGAGAGAGGAAGAAGAAATCTTATGAAATTATAGTTTTGCCCTTAATTTCGATAGTCAACAAATAGTCAAGTTAACAGAGGACTTAATTGAGTAAAAATTGCATAGTTAAGGACTTAATTAGGTAAGAACGATAGTCAAGAACCAAATTAGTAATTACGATATAGTCGAAGGGACTATTTTGGTTATTAACTCTTCTTTGAATAATTTACTATGCCCAACGTAGTGCTTTTATTTTGAGAATAAACACGTTTGGTTTTATCAAAACCGAATAGATATATCCCTACATGCATATTTTGAATATAAAATTTGAATGTAATTGAAAATCAAACCATATACAAAAAACTCAATGTATATGAAATTTTTCTCAGGCAATACAATCAACTAGGCAGAGATTATAAAGGCTCTGATACCAAATGTTAGATATAAATAATTTAACGATACTGAGTAATAGCATATGAGAAACTTGACCTCGTATAAGCAGAAGCGGTAGCCATATTGATCTCCAGCCATAGTTGGTGTTCTTGCTGTATTGCCTCTTAACGATAGACCGTTAGCCATATTTTGCCTAATACTATACTCAGAACCACAAATGATGTATAGGTGTCTACTGAACTATATGAGTACCGTAACTGAATATGCTATATAATGAATATTCTATATCCCATAAATCCAAGTTTATATTAGGCACAAAGTTAGTTGACTAACAACTTCTAGTTATTCAGTCTAACCAGATCACTTAACAAACCTAGTCAACTTGCACCACTTAATTAAGACCCCTAATATATAATATATATTATTAGGAAAAATCTTACATTTAATTCTTAATTTGAATTATCTTAATATTGAGCGAACTCGATTGGACACATCAGCCATCTAATACTCATTGTTTGATACTCTTATTTGTTCTCTAACCTTCCCAAGGAATAGGGGTACACACTACACAGTAGAAATGTTTAATAAATGATCATTTTAGAATCCAACCCCCTTGATTAAGGGCCTGACAAATTTGTAACAAGTTATAAAGTAATAATAATTTAAGGATTATAACTCCGGATTTTACTGAATGATTCTAAAAGACCGGATTAATGAATATGTTTAACGTTAGCCTCACCCTAACTCCAAGATCCCATAACTCCATCCCGGCAGAACATTTAGGAGGATATGAATTATGGTGACTCAATAGTTCAGCAGACAGAGTCAAATGCCAACGCGCATAAGGAATCTGTTTACTTAAGACATAATCCCTACATAGCTGCCACCGAGATTCGAACTTGATCTCTTCTCTAAAATATATTACTATTGAACCATTGCACTATTTCGATTGGTCTCTAGATCCTTATCTACAATGACTCAAGCTATAGATCCTACGTGAGCTTACTCTTAGGACTCTTATTGCAGTACACTTCTAGTCTATGTATATCTCTATATCCTTTGTATTTATTTCATGTATGTATCTCAGTACAGACTGATGATTGATTAATACAATCCTAATCTGGTATCAGTTGCTAGGTTTTCTCTATGGCTGACGACAGCTCTGTCGGTAACTCTTCCGAGCGGACTGTTTCCAATGTTACTGTGTCATCCTTGCCCACCTCTCTTTCCACGGCTCATCACATTGTGAGCCTTAAGCTTACCAATCGCAATTTTCTGTTTTGGAGGACTCAATTGGTTCCGTTCCTTCGTGGCCAAAACTTGTTGGGCTACGTCAACGGTACAAACCCATGCCCGCCGTCGACGGTGCCGCTGTCATCCGGTGAGGCTTCGTCCGGTGTCTCTCAGGTGGCTGTCAACCCCGTATATTCTCTCTGGGTCCAACAGGACCAGCAACTCCTCTCCATGCTCATGTCCTCCCTCTCGGATGAGGTGATGCACTTAGTAGTCGGAAGGCGGACGTCCATGGAGGTTTGGGTGGCCATTGAGACGGCGTTGGCTTCTACCTCGCATGCACAGACGTTAAATCTGCTAGGCCAACTGCAGACGCTCCGGTAAGGCAACACTTCAGTCGTGGATTACTTGGCCAGGGCGATGATGATTGTTGAGGACCTGGTGCTCGCTGGCCCGCCGGTATCTATCGAAGAGCAGAGTATGTTTGTGCTGCGTGGCTTATGTCCGGAGTACAGGTCCTGATAAGCGCCAAAGACACCTATAAATAAGGTCTTTAAAGAATGTGTTTTGAGCCTAATTGTAATCCTTTGTGTACAATTAGTGACCATTTAAACTATAAATGTGCATTGTGTTATGAAATGTTACCACACTTTGTATTCTTGTGAATTTGGAAAGATTCAGCTCAAAGGAGACATGGTGGCATACTTCGGAGCATTGCAAGGCAAGGAGCAAACTTGAGTCGGGCTAGGATCACCCAACGCACGTGGGGAGTGCGTGGGAATGAAATAGAAAGTTCCACGCACTCGTCCCACGTGCGTGGACGAGTCGTGGGACGAGTAAGTAACCGGCTCACGTATGTCGGCCGGGCGCGTTGGCGGTGGCAGCTTGGCGGATTACATTTGTCTAATTGGAGGGGAGCTATTTAATAGGTTAGGAGGAGATTAGAAAATGAGATACAAAATATACAACATTTCTCTAGTAGTAGATTACATTTTCTCTCTAGGTTTTCTATCTAGCCCCTCTCATTGTAAGATCCTTTGAAGAAGAAGATTGACACACTTCCAATCAAAGATCATTGTTGAAGTCTTCAACAATTGCACTTCAATTTGGTACTCTTTATTGATTTTATATTTCCATTGATTGTTAGATTCATGAATGCAATGTTGAAAGTCATGGCTATGAGTGACTAGATTCTTTCTAGGATTTGAATTGTGAAGTCTTGATCACGATGCTTATGTGAACCTTAATTCCTAATTAGGTGTATGAATGATTGCAATGTGTACGAATCTTGTTGTCTTAGTGTGAATTGTATGCACTCTATGGAGTCCGGCCAACTCCTAGGGTTGTGCTAAGTAAGTGATCTATGCAAGAGATTGCTAGATCACTTGAAGCTTCCATCTTTGGCATTTCCTAGCTTAATGAGACGAGAGGCCTAGGTTAGGAAGGTAGTGTAGGCAAGTTGTTCGAGGAAAGGTCTCTTAGACTCTTAGACACTAAAAGAGGAGTTCTAGTGTCTAGGAGACAAGTCCTAGTAGTTGAGAAGCGAAAGGACGCAAGCAACCCTCCCTAGGTTCTAGCCATTGCAACATTCTACCTAGTACTAATGGTCCTACTTGCATCATGAGAAAGACAAGCAATTCAATCCTATTTCAATTCAATTGTTTACTCTATTTTATATGCTTATTTCTTGTTTTACCCATTTACTACATTTAAATTCATGGCGCGTGACACTTGCTCAACACACACACACATCTTTCTCTACTTTGATGTTCATTTAGCGTCTCCAATTTGTCATCCGTAGAGAACGATAAAACTCGGGAACCATCCCAATCTTTTGACACGTGATTCTTAGAAAAGCCCCACAAGCAAAGAGAAAAACGCAAGGTTATCAAAATGGCGCCGTTGCCGGGGATGGCAAATGGTTATTGCTAAGTTATTGTCAAATTGGGAAATGTTTGTGATTGCTAGTTGAGTTGTTTTCTTTTGTTGCATTTTGTTTGTGATAACTCTCTAATCAACTACTTTTAGTTGAGAGGAGGAAAAAAATTTGTTGCAATTCTTCTAGGTTGGATGCATACAAGATGAAAAGGGAATCAAGGACTAGTGCCCTTTGTACCCGAAATCAACAAAGCAACTAGAAGGAGAGCTCTACACTATTTTATTCCATTGGACCACATGGCATCTTCAAGTGCACAAAACCAAAGAACGTCGATAGGAAGAGAAAGTCCATTGCACACACACCCCAACCTATTCAGCAAGGAGGAGTAAATTAAATGCTTATGGAGGAGCCCCATTACCCCAAGAACCACCCCGCAAGGAGAACAATGCCAATGTAGGACAAGTTCCACCAGATCCCATAGGAGATGAAGAATACTATGATGCTCCACATGATGGAAGATGGGAGATCAATAGCCGAATATATAACCCCCGAATTCTCCATGCATAATTCTATCTTTGTACCACCCTTGGAGAATGTGAATTTCCATATACATCCGGCGGTACTTAGCCTTGTTCAAAACAATCATTTTGGAGGATCAATATTGGAGTATCCACATACTCATATCACATGACTCATACGTGTTTGCGGCATGTTTAGACAAGAAGGAGTATCGGACGAGATAGTAAGGTTGAAGTTATTTCCATTTTCGGTAGTTGGAGAAGCTTTGAGATGGATTGATGCACAAGATGACGACCATTTCCGGTCGTGGGCTCAATTGCACAAGAAATTTATGAATGAGTTCTTCCCCTTGACCAAGACGATGAAGATAAGGAAGCAAGTGCAGTCCATCCTTCAGCCTCGTCCCATGGCTCCTGCTTCTATTCGGCCAGACCAACCCGCGCTGGCTCAGCCAGTTCTGTCCGAACCAGACCAGGTCAACCAGCCTGAGCTGCCCGCTTCATCAGCTACACCTGTTGCCTCAACGATTGCACTCGCGGCTCGTCCTCGCGGCCGACCGCGTGGGCGGTCTACTCGCCCCACAGTTCATTCTCATACCATGGCCACACGGAGCCGGTCTCAGGCTCCCCCTACGGTTCCGACTGCACAAGTTTGTCTTACTGAACCTACATGCTACACTCAGGCGATTAAATATCAAGAATGGCTTATGACAATGGACCAAGAGTTCAATGCTCTTCTTCAGAATGAGACATGGTGCCTTGTTCCACCTAAATTAGACATGAACATTATTGGGTGTAAGTGGGTCTTTCGCACAAAAAGGAAGATAGATAGTTCAATTGAAAGACACAAAGCATGTTTGTAGCTAAAGGGTTTAATCAAGTACTGATGTGAACTTAATTGTACACGTTTCTCTTGTTAGTTTGAGTCTATTTGTGGGTTTAAGTTCATTAAATTGTTACTTTCAATACCTAATTCCTTGCTTTCTAATGAAAATATGGTTTAATGCTTGATTTGAGAGTTTTTATGGTTTTGTTAGTGTTTTGAAACCATTGCAGATCAATTGCAAGAGTAAGGGAAGTTCTACGACAAGTTTGGAGCCAAAACGGAGTCAAGGTGAAGCTAAGGAGGTGACTAAAATGCTTCAAAGAGAGCCAAAGAGTGGTACTTTCAATAGATTTGATCAAAAGAACAAAAAAGACCAAAGAGTTGTAATTCCCGTTGAATTCGGCGACATCTTAGTATTTTGATCATATCTCACTCTAGGAATGTCTGATTTAGGTGATTTTTGCGCCAATGGAAAGAAGACTCGAAGGGATATAACCTATGATGAAGCAGAAAACTCGACGCATCAAGTTCCAAACTCAACGTGTCGAGAAATTCCAGAATGTTGCGCGCAGATTACGCAGAAAACTCGACGTGTCGAGAATTCTAGGCAGATTTTGGAATATTTTGTGCGGAAACTTCCTATTTCATCCCTCACTTGATTCCCACTATAAAATCCCGCCTTCCTCAACCCTAGAAGACCCAGATGCGGTGTTTTGGAGACAAGAAGGAAGAGAATCAAGAGCTACAAGTTGTCTTTGAAAGCAAGAAGAAAGCTGAGGAGATTTGGGAGAATCACTTAGTTTATTCTAGTACTCTCTTTGATTATTTGTAAACACTTTATTATATTTTCCATGTATAATTTAGCCATGCTTGGCTAAATTTCTTTAGAGATTATTGGGTAAAAAGCGTTTATGAACCTATGTGCCTGTTTATCAGATTCTTAATATATTGATATTTGAGTTTTATACTTGTGTTGCAATTGTGATTATATTGTTGTTGCTAGTAGTTCAGGGCCTGAATTACTTGTTTCATAGCTTTATTTATGTCATAACGGGAGTTAGTCATAATTGAGAGTGCATGGAAAGAAATACGAACAGTATCATAGGGCCTGCAGATAATGATGCAGAAGAGACAGAAGAAAGAGTTGAATAACTTGAATTAGAAAATGGTGGTTTTAGAAAATGGAGAGGCTGAAACCACAGAAGTATCCTTTAATGCCGTTTACAGTAAGGGATGGTTAATAAAATTAAACTCCAAGGATTAGGGCAGACAGACTTTTTCTATATATATATATATATATATATATATATATATATATATATATATATATATATATATAGACAAGATCAGGTGCGGCTATATGTTTAGGTGAGGCGGTGAGGTTATATCCCAGCCGTTGATCAATTCTAATCTAACGCATGATAAACATTATTTTGATTGTTATTTTTAATAATCTTTTTATAGTTAAATTGCAAAAGTTAATTAATTTTATATTTATTCTTATTTATTATTAGTATATTTAACTTTATTAATATTGTTTAATTTTAAGTTATTTTTATTAGTTTTAAATTAGTTTTGTTATTAACATTTGTCAGCCCGATAATTTTCACACCTTCTTCTTCTTCTTATTATTATTATTATTATTATTATTATTATTATTATTATTATTATTATTATTATTATTATTATTATTATTATTATTATTATTATTATTATTATTATTATTATTATTATTATTATTATTATTATTATTATTATTATTATTATTATTATTATTATTATTATTATTATTATTATTATTATTATTATTATTATTATTATTATTATTTTATTATTATTATTATTATTTTTTTTATTATTATTATTATTATTATTATTATTATTATTATTATTATTATTATATTATTATTATTATTATTATTATTATTATTATTATTATTATTATTATTATTATTATTATTATTATTATTATTATTATTATTATTATTATTATTATTATTATTATTATTATTATTATTATTATTATTATTATTATTATTATTATTATTATTATTATTATTATTATTATTATTATTATTATTATTATTATTATTATTATTATTATTATTATTATTATTATTATTATTATTATTATTATTATTTATTATTATTATTATTATTATTATTATTATTATTATTATTATTATTATTATTATTATTATTATTATTTTATTATTATTATTATTATTATTATTATTATTATTATTATTATTATTATTATTATTATTATTATTATTATTATTATTATTATTATTATTATTATTATTATTATTATTATTATTATTATTATTATTTTATTATTATTATTATTATTATTATTATTATTATTATTATTATTATTATTATTATTATTATTATTATTATTATTATTATTATTATTATTATTATTATTATTATTATTATTATTATTATTATTATTATTATTATTATTATTATATTATTATTATTATTATTATTATTATATTATTATTATTATTATTATTATTATTATTATTATTATTATTATTATTATTATTATTATTATTATTATTATTATTATTATTATTATTATTATTATTATTATTATTATTATTATTTTTTTTTTTTTTTTTTTTTTTTTTTTTTTTTTTATTATTATTATTATTATTTTATTATTATTATTATTATTATTATTATTATTATTAATATTGTTGTAGTTTTAAGTTAATAATAAAAGTGTAGCCAGTTAAATAAGGATTGTAATTTATTTAAGCTTTTAATTTTAATTTATTTAACTAAAGAAAAAGTCATTGTGCGGTGAACAAAAAGAGCCGAACGGAGAGGATGATTCGCAGAAGAACTAGAACTCCGGCAGCGGCTTGGTCATCTTGGCGATTCGATTTAATCGGAGAAATTGTGGCTGGGCTTGGAGATGCGATGGAGGTTAGACAGTATAAAAGGGACGCTGATTCATTCTCCTGAACATGAATTTTGGCCCCGGACCAATTCCGGATGCGATCCACATCAATCTCCCCGGAGCAACTCCGGTCGGTACGGCGGCGATCTCCGGCGGCAACGTTGGCATTCTTCGGTAGCAACCAGCCCTTGGGCGGTGGTGATTTCCGACCGGCGGGGGCATCAGTTTGGTTCAACGTTTGGCAACAGCTCTCATTCTTCCTGGTTTTTCCCTTTGTTTATACTTTCATTCTCTAATTAGCAGTAGCAGTTCTCTGGTTTTCTTCCTCTTAAATCTTCACTTGTCATTTATAAATTCTTTACTTTCAACTTTGTGAGTGGTGTACGTACTGACGTACTGTGCTTGTCGTAACAATATTAAATTGGTTTGCAATTAATTTTGAAATGCTTTTGATATTATTAGGAACAAGATGATTTTAATTTCATTCACACTATTTGTTAGTAGATTTAAATTAATTGTTGATCTTGAATGAGCCAGTGCTATGTTTCTGTTATTATTTTGCTTTTCAAATATTCCATTTGTTAATTAGTTTAGTTTGCATCAACTCGTAGAATTGAACAATTGAAGCTGATAAGTTAATTGTTTTAATTTCAAGTCAATTACTTCTTAAGTTGTTAAATTGCATCGTACAATTTCCTGTGGGATCGACCCTTGTTATTGCACACTATCACTACAACTGATTCGTGCACTTGCGAGGACTTAATTAAATTGTCCAACAATTTTTGGCGCCGTTGCCGGGGAATTGTTTATTTTGCAATTTAATTTTCTGTTTTTTTTTTTCTTTAATTGCTTGATTTTTTTCCCTATCCCTTCATTATTGTCTTTTTTTTTCATTCTTTAATCTTGCATTTTATTTAATTCGTTCGTCTAGTTAAAAATTTGCTTTATATTTGTTTTTAATTTCCCTATTCTCTTTATTTAATTTTCACATTCCTTAACAGCTTGATTCTTTAATTCTATCACTTCATTATTATTGTCATTTGTTTTTCCCTTGCTTATTTAATTTATTCATTAGTCCATTTTACTTTTTGATTTTTTTTTTTGTTTTAATCACAAATCCAAATTTGAAAATTTCTACTCTCTGAAAAAATGTATGAAGTTAATTCCAATATGGATTTGGCTTTTCAAATGTCTGAGTTAGCAAAACAAATGGAAAATATGTGGTCTATGTTAAGTATGCATCAAGATAATTCATTTACAAATAATAATGGTTTTGGACAGCTAATTCAATGAATGTTTTTAATCAAACGCATGTGCATGACTTGTTTTATAATTCACATAATTCAGGTTGGGAAAATCACTCTAATTTTTGGGATGATAATCAAAATGAGTTTCAACTAAACCATCCTAATTTTTCTTGGGATGATAGTCAAAATGATTTTCAACCAAGTCATCCCAAATTTTATTGTGATTATGATCACAACGATTTTCAACCAAGTTATTCTAATTTTTATTGTGATTATAATCAAAATGAATTTCAGCCAATTGACCCATCCCAACCTGAAAAACCATCTTTGGAGGATACTTTACAGGAGTTCATGCAGGGTTGCAATATCCATGATTTCCAACCTAAAAAACAATCATTGGAAGATTCCCTGCAGGAGTTTATACAGACTTGCAATATGCAACAAGACGCACATGGTCAATGGTTGCATATGCAACAAGAAACTTATGAGCCACAAGAAGAAGATGAACAACGATTCCAAGAAAATGAGGCTTGCTTTAAAAGAATTGAAGCACATTTAGAGCAAATTGCTAAATTTGTGCAAGAGCATGTGCCAGGTAAGTTACCTAGTCAACCTGAAGAGGCTAAGGCTGGTGATATCAATGAAAACAAGTCAGAAGATAATATCATTTCTAAACAAGCTGAAATAATTGAAAAATTGCATAATAATGTTGATGATATTATTGTTGAAAATGAGCCTAAATTGCATAAATCTGATAATCCTTATCTGCCTCCCATGCATTATGTGCCCCCAATCCCTATCCATGTTGATGAAAGTTTTGGAAACACCAAACCGGTGCAAAATGAATATTTAGAGGTAAAGGAGCCTTATGTACCACCCGAGCCTTATGTGCCCCCAGTTCCATTTCCAAATAGGCTCAGAAGTTGTGTGCATGAAACGGTAGGTGCAAAGCTACAAAACGAATTGCCCCTAGTCCCTATTGATGTTTAAGCAGACAAATTGACCAAAAATGTGCATGATGAAACTGTTGAGTTTCCAAATTTCAAATTTATGAATTTTCCTGAAAGATCTAACCAAGTTTTTGCAGTGAAGGGGTTGCCTTTTACTGATGATGGTAAGTTGGAGTTTGATAAAATCCAAAAAGAAAATCTGTTGAATGGCGTTGCTCATAAATCATTTTCTTGTCATTTAAAACCTGCAGGGCTAAATGAAAATTTCACAAAAGAAAAATCTAGTAAAGGAAGACTCTCTTTGTCTTCTTTTCTTTCCTCTCACAACATTGGGGACAATGTTGAAAATAAGTGTGGGGAAGGGGTTCTACCCACAAATCATAAAAAATTGAAAAATTTTAAAATTTTTAATTTTCTCATGTTCATTTTCTTAAATCTTTTTATTTTAAAATTCTAGCATTAGTTTGAGCTTTATCCATTAGTCTTTTAAATATTCGGTGATAAAAATAATGCAGGTTTTTGTCAGCTCTTAGTGTGTATATTGCTTTTGACTAGTTGTTAATTTCTTTAATTTTATATCTTCGTCAAATCAAAAAAAAAAAAAAAAAACAAAAACAAAAAAAAAAACAAAAAAAATAAATAGAATTTGAAAATCACAAATACCCTTATATGTGTTATGCATTTTCTTTAGTAGTTTATATGCATCTTTCATTTTATATTACCTTTTTCAAATTCTTAAATAATTCTTGAGTGCTATAAATTGTGGTATAGTGTGTTGGTTCAAGGATCATCTTTATGACATAAGTGAGGTGAAAAGAAAAGATTTTAAACAAAAAAAATATTCAAAAATAAATGAGAGTGTTTTATTTATTTTATTTTCAGCAATTTCAGAGATTCTACTCCGCTGAATCAGCCACATATACACATGTACCATAAATAAATAAATAAGTGTCGTGGTCTGGTTTATGAGTATACATAAATTTGAAAACCCAAACAAGTCTGGCGTAAAATGGCGAGGTTTTTGGGGAAGTTCTCTTTGGAAAAAGTCAAAATAGAAAAATAATGAGTGAACTTTGGAAGAGACGAGCAATTGCATTTCAATTTTAATAAATGCCTTGATCCGTATTTCCTTCATGTTTTGCACCTGCACAGTGATAGAATATTTCTGAATTTGGTTTAGGTTGAATTTGATGAAATTTTTATATTTTTCTATTGAGTTTTTGTATAGTTCATATAAGGGGTGTCAGCACACGAGCACACGTTTTATATTTATGTTAGTTGTTAAAGTTTTTAATTTCTAGTCAAATGTTTTATAGATTCTTTGAGTTGGCACTAACTTTGCATTGGTGGCAATAAATTTGAAAGTCTATTTGGGTAAAGCTCGATCTTATGCTTGATTTTATTTTAATTTCTTTTCTTTTTAATAATGTCTTTGCTTGAGGAAAAGCAAATAAATAAGTGTGGGGAAATTTGATAAACATTATTTTGATTGCTATTTTTAATAATCTTTTTATAGTTAAATTGCAAAAGTTAATTAATTTTATATTTATTCTTATTTATTATTAGTATATTTAACTTTATTAATATTGTTTAATTTTAAGTTATTTTTATTAGTTTTAAATTAGTTTTGTTATTAACATTTGTCAGCCCGATAATTTCACACCTTATTATTATTATTATTATTATTATTATTATTATTATTATTATTATTATTATTATTATTATTATTATTATTATTATTATTATTATTGTTGTTGTTGTTGTTGTTGTTGTTGTTGTTGTTGTTGTTGTTGTTGTTGTTGTAGTTTTAAGTTAATAATAAAAGTGTAGCCAGTTAAATAAGGATTGTAATTTATTTAAGCTTTTAATTTTAATTTATTTAACTAAAGAAAAAGTCATTGTGCGGTGAACAAAAAGAGCCGAACGGAGAGGATGATTCGCAGAAGAACTAGAACTCCGGCAGCGGCTTGGTCATCTTGGCGATCCGATTGAATCGGAGAAATTGTGGCTGGGCTTGGAGATGCGATGGAGGTTAGACAGTATAAAAGGGACGCTGATTCATTCTCCTGAACATGAATTTTGGCCCCGGACCAATTCCGGATGTGATCCACATCAATCTCCCCGGAGCAACTCCGGTCGGTACGGCGGCGATCTCCGGCGGCAACGTTGGCATTCTTCGGTAGCAACCAGCCCTTGGGCGGTGGTGATTTCCGACTGGCGGGGGCATCAGTTTGGTTCAACGTTTGGCAACAGCTCTCATTCTTCCTGGTTTTTCCCTTTGTTTATACTTTCATTCTCTAATTAGCAGTAGCAGTTCTCTGGTTTTCTTCCTCTTAAATCTTCACTTGTCATTTATAAATTCTTTACTTTCAACTTTGTGAGTGGTGTACGTACTGTGCTTGTCGTAACAATATTAAATTGGTTTGCAATTAATTTTGAAATGCTTTTGATATTATTAGGAGCAAGATGATTTTAATTTCATTCACACTATTTGTTAGTAGATTTAAATTAATTGTTGATCTAGAATGAGCCAGTGCTATGTTTCTGTTATTATTTTGCTTTTCAAATATTCCATTTGTTAATTAGTTTAGTTTGCATCAACTCGTAGAATTGAACAATTGAAGCTGATAAGTTAATTGTTTTAATTTCAAGTCAATTACTTCTTAAGTTGTTAAATTGCATCGTACAATTTCCTGTGGGATCGACCCTTGTTATTGCACACTATCACTACAACTGATTCGTGCACTTGCGAGGACTTAATTAAATTGTCCAACAATTTTTGGCGCCGTTGCCGGGGAATTGTTTATTTTGCAATTTAATTTTCTGTTTTTTTTTTCTTTAATTGCTTGATTTTTTTTCCCTATCCCTTCATTATTGTCTTTTTTTTTCATTCTTTAATCTTGCATTTTATTTAATTCGTTCGTCTAGTTAAAAATTTGCTTTATATTTGTTTTTAATTTCCCTATTCTCTTTATTTAATTTTCACATTCCTTAACAGCTTGATTCTTTAATTCTATCACTTCATTATTATTGTCATTTGTTTTTCCCTTGCTTATTTAATTTATTCATTAGTCCATTTTACTTTTTGATTTTTTTTTTGTTTTAATCACAAATCCAAATTTGAAAATTTCTACTCTCTGAAAAAATGTATGAAGTTAATTCCAATATGGATTTGGCTTTTCAAATGTCTGAGTTAGCAAAACAAATGGAAAATATGTGGTCTATGTTAAGTATGCATCAAGATAATTCATTTACAAATAATAATGGTTTTGGACAGCTAATTCAATGAATGTTTTTAATCAAACGCATGTGCATGACTTGTTTTATAATTCACATAATTCAGGTTGGGAAAATCACTCTAATTTTTGGGATGATAATCAAAATGAGTTTCAACTAAACCATCCTAATTTTTCTTGGGATGATAGTCAAAATGATTTTCAACCAAGTCATCCCAAATTTTATTGTGATTATGATCACAACGATTTTCAACCAAGTTATTCTAATTTTTATTGTGATTATAATCAAAATGAATTTCAGCCAATTGACCCATCCCAACCTGAAAAACCATCTTTGGAGGATACTTTACAGGAGTTCATGCAGGGTTGCAATATCCATGATTTCCAACCTAAAAAACAATCATTGGAAGATTCCCTGCAGGAGTTTATACAGACTTGCAATATGCAACAAGACGCACATGGTCAATGGTTGCATATGCAACAAGAAACTTATGAGCCACAAGAAGAAGATGAACAACGATTCCAAGAAAATGAGGCTTGCTTTAAAAGAATTGAAGCACATTTAGAGCAAATTGCTAAATTTGTGCAAGAGCATGTGCCAGGTAAGTTACCTAGTCAACCTGAAGAGGCTAAGGCTGGTGATATCAATGAAAACAAGTCAGAAGATAATATCATTTCTAAACAAGCTGAAATAATTGAAAAATTGCATAATAATGTTGATGATATTATTGTTGAAAATGAGCCTAAATTGCATAAATCTGATAATCCTTATCTGCCTCCCATGCATTATGTGCCCCCAATCCCTATCCATGTTGATGAAAGTTTTGGAAACACCAAACCGGTGCAAAATGAATATTTAGAGGTAAAGGAGCCTTATGTACCACCCGAGCCTTATGTGCCCCCAGTTCCATTTCCAAATAGGCTCAGAAGTTGTGTGCATGAAACGGTAGGTGCAAAGCTACAAAACGAATTGCCCCTAGTCCCTATTGATGTTTAAGCAGACAAATTGACCAAAAATGTGCATGATGAAACTGTTGAGTTTCCAAATTTCAAATTTATGAATTTTCCTGAAAGATCTAACCAAGTTTTTGCAGTGAAGGGGTTGCCTTTTACTGATGATGGTAAGTTGGAGTTTGATAAAATCCAAAAAGAAAATCTGTTGAATGGCGTTGCTCATAAATCATTTTCTTGTCATTTAAAACCTGCAGGGCTAAATGAAAATTTCACAAAAGAAAAATCTAGTAAAGGAAGACTCTCTTTGTCTTCTTTTCTTTCCTCTCACAACATTGGGGACAATGTTGAAAATAAGTGTGGGGAAGGGGTTCTACCCACAAATCATAAAAAATTGAAAAATTTTAAAATTTTTAATTTTCTCATGTTCATTTTCTTAAATCTTTTTATTTTAAAATTCTAGCATTAGTTTGAGCTTTATCCATTAGTCTTTTAAATATTCGGTGATAAAAATAATGCAGGTTTTTGTCAGCTCTTAGTGTGTATATTGCTTTTGACTAGTTGTTAATTTCTTTAATTTTATATCTTCGTCAAATCAAAAAAAAAAAAAAAAAACAAAAACAAAAAAAAAAAACAAAAAAAATAAATAGAATTTGAAAATCACAAATACCCTTATATGTGTTATGCATTTTCTTTAGTAGTTTATATGCATCTTTCATTTTATATTACCTTTTTCAAATTCTTAAATAATTCTTGAGTGCTATAAATTGTGGTATAGTGTGTTGGTTCAAGGATCATCTTTATGACATAAGTGAGGTGAAAAGAAAAGATTTTAAACAAAAAAAATATTCAAAAATAAATGAGAGTGTTTTATTTATTTTATTTTCAGCAATTTCAGAGATTCTACTCCGCTGAATCAGCCACATATACACATGTACCATAAATAAATAAATAAGTGTCGTGGTCTGGTTTATGAGTAT